TTTTTCGACCGTAGCACAATATATTCTAGACGAGAATTTTTTTTAAGTTTTACTCTTAAAATTTTAATACAAATGATACAGTATTTTCTTTTATTCTAAAAATCGTGTGTTACTTAAAGGACGTATGCGCGAAGGTTTTATGACAAGTAAAGGGTTCGGGAATGCTAAGTTGGCAAAACAACGAATCTTGATGGCTGGGTCACGCCGTCTCAACTGTAACTTCAAAGCTCAAGGAAGATGGTGTGAAGCTTGACGATAATTTTCATCAAACAAATACTCATCTAGAAAATATTATAAAAGTATTTCCTTGCAATTAGCTCCGACTAAGTTGTTAGAATAATAAAACTATTTTAGGAACATGTAACATCGTAAATTTAACAAACTTTGAGTAGTTCTATATACATTTTCACTCATCAAAGCTGCCTCCAAACGCCACATAACAGATTCATATAATTTGCAGCAAAACGACTACTGCTCATATTGTTGTGAGTAACGATTTAATTGCGCTACGTTGTATTGTGGCATGTTTTCGGTTGAGAGCACACCTTGCCGCGCAACCTCTGTTGTTGCACTTTAGCCGCACACAAGCACACTGCATATAAATGTGAGCGTGTAGAACAGCCGAAATACTTTTGTTACTTGTTTCATATTTTCATACGATGTACTTGTAACGGAACTTTCACGTATTCGGCAACACACGCGCACACGAACACCTCAGCGGGCGTTCGCGCATGTGTGTACACACAAACTTGGCAACATGTGAATTAGTTATTAAGTGAGAGTCAAATTGGGTCAGTTCAGAAAGCGTTGCTATTATTTTATTTTCCTTATGTATGTACATATATACCTACACTTTCTTTTCGTGATTTAACTCAAATTTTACTCGTGTTTTTACTTTTACTTGCTTGGCGCTTACCTTTTCATATATTTTTGCTTCATTTTTATAAAAAATCCAAAAAAAATCTCGCTTTTGTTACGCTTTTGCACTTTACTTATGCTGTTCGTTTGCTGTGTATTATTATTTCGTTTATTTTGCTTCGTTTTCTTTTGCTCCCTCCATAGCTTTTGTAAGGAAGGTATGTGATTACTCATACGCCATGGCGCTCGACATGCCTTTCTTGCTGCCGATTGACTACCCCAAGTTATTTTGTGTTCGGTTTTTCATTTTTTTATTTTTATTAGCGTATATATGAATGGTTGTGTGTCTGTATTCTTATTGTTGGCAATGTGTTTCGTGCGCTTTATTTTGCTTTAAATCTTGCATACCTTAAAGCAAGTGCAAGTACATGGTTTCTTCTTATTTTTGGATAATACTTGTACGTATAGTAATAAATTTTTAGATTTTTACTAGGAATTGATAATGCTTTTTAAAGTTTGCCTCAGCCGCCTACTGAATTTGACTACTAGCGGTTGGCTTTGATTATGCGGATATATTTATAAGCTAATTAAAACAAAATTTGTTAACAGCTATCCCTCAAACAAGATTCGCTCTATTTCCCCTTGCTATCCGATCAAATTTGACCCGACTGAGAAAAAAATTACGCATTTTAACACACATTTTTATAATCATCTCCAAAATAGGCTCCTGACCCAATTCAAGCATATCAATGCTTAATTCAAGTTTGCACACACGATAAGCCTCGACTGGGATCGTCTTCAACGAATGGCTTTTAATAGCTTCAATGAATAAAATGCGCGTTGTCCGAAACGGATTTATCTGGCGTATACGGTGGCTGAACGTTAGCTCTCGTTTCATGTGACCAAAAAATCAGTCAATATCATGCTAGATTGTGACGGCGCATTAACGTGGTGAAAAATCCATGAATTTTTTACCCACAAAACCAGTCATCTACGACGAATTGCTTCACGCAGACGCGTAGCATTCTTTTATGGCCGTTTTATGCTCAAGCAACGATGAACATCAACTTGATTTGTAATGATGCATTTGATGAATGAATACTCGACGTCGTTTTAACAAAAGAATTAAATATTTTGGTATGAGTTTAGCACTACACGCTTCATACCTAAAACCTTTAGGCATTCAAAGCCTAGTCAAAAGCATTAAATTTTACATCCGAGATGATACAAGGTGGTTTTTTAGGAGCCAGTCTAATAATTGGTCGATGGGCGTGGCACAGCCCACATTTAATAGAAATCACATATCTCCGGAACTACTTGAACGACTTCAACCAAATTTAGTACAAAACATTCGTTGAATATTCCAACGTTACAGTGCGAAATCGGACTACCTACTTTCCATATACCACAATTTTAAATTCCATATGATTTTTTCACTTTCCAGTATACAAATCAAGAAGCAATACATATAACGAGATGAAACTTTGCAAGAATAATATCCTTGCAGGGTGCCACCTTATAACCAAAAATTTATCAAATCGCACCAAAACTATTCAAGCCCTTAGGTACGAAATATGTGGACCCCAGTGCTTATAGTTGCCTTTTGGGCGAACATATCGGTCAATGTATGAGATATATAATTCAAATTCGGTGAAAATCCTTTCCTGATAATAGTATATCTGAAAATCAAAAATTTTTTAATCGGGTCAATACTTCCCTAAGTCGTATACGTAGTATAAATATTTTCGTACTTCCGGTTTAGTTCATGCCGCATATATCAGCCAATATGTGAGCTATCTTAATCCATTATTGGGCCTAAAATGAGTAAAATCGGGTGAAACTTGAGAATTTTCAATAATCCGGTTGATATGCATTTATGTTGGTGGTAGTATGTGAGGTACCTTAATGAAACTCTGAGATCATTTTATTCTGTTAACAGTATGTTGCTAAAAATAGATAATATCGTGTCAATATTAAACCAATCTCTCATATACCTAATATAAGAGTTTCAAACTTTCGGTTGGCCTTATGCCACATATATCAGTCATAAAGTAAGATAATCCAAATTTACTGGCTACTATTATATATACTATACCTAAACTATAATATTGAATATACTACAGTTTAATGCCGAAAATATATGAATTTAGTCTACGAACTACCCCAACTCCCAAATACTGCATAAATTGATTTTCGTTATTTTATCAAACCTTATGCCGAACATGTCGTTCAGTGTGTGAGTTATATATTTATAAAATTGCTTGAAAAAATGATCTCAAGTATGATTCGTCAATGTCAAAATTAACTCAATTAGCCCACCAATTTCTCTGTCTGCAATAAAGCCTGTATAATAATTTCCAACTATCCACCTGACAAAATGTGTGCTATTTTAATAAAATTATATAAGTTTTTTTAAAAATTGTGTGTGAATATGAATGAAGGTGTCTAAACTGCATATACCTAATAGATTGTATTAAATTTCGCTTATTCAGTTGAGTTCATATCACATATGGTATATCTCATCTGAAGATTATTTTAAATATAATAATAACACTAAGTGAGTATATGATCTATTATATAACATAACAAAATATCAAATTTGATTGCCGATTTCGTCAAATAATGAATGTTGAATTGTTTGGCAAAATGTTTTAATATAAATTTTCCTCACCCATAAAGGTATTTTCCGGCTTTCTTCTGTTTATCTAGAAACTGTTATTAGACAGCACAGTCACTTTGGAAAATATACTACTATTTTACCATTTACGATTTCCCGTAAATGCGTTTGCATTACCAATTTTAACATCAATAAAAAAGTCATAACATAATCTCAGATAACAACAATTTAAATGTGTAGACGGCAGAGATTGTAAGTGACTAAATTACATTTCCGCACAAAAAATTACTCGCATCAAGTTTATCAGATAACCCAGTATGCAATTTTGCTCCACAGTTTTGAATAAATGCTGTAAATTATTGATAAAATATTATATACAATAGCGGTATACAGAAATTGGGGTAACTCTCAAATGTTGCAACTACCATTATATTTATTATAGTCAACGTTGAGAGGTTTTAACACACTTACAAAGAGGAGTAAATTTCCTTGCAAAAAATACCATTAATATGTGGCCAGTTGGGTATAATGTGTCATCAAGTATATAAACATATGTCGACTTAAAATCAAATGCACATATGATACCCATATCTAACACACTCCCACTCAAACAAAGACAGCTGCGCACCTTCAGCAAACCTACTCCATAACAAATATTTATAGGCGTACACATAAATATAGGTAGTAATATAGGTAGTAATATTTATGTGTATGAACCTATCAACGACCTATTTGTTCCATATCTCCAGACTCTTAAGCAAACATTTTATGCGCTATCACACACAATCTTCAGAACATACAAAACAACATAAGTAGCGGTACATATGTATGTATGTGTATGAATTAAAAGTGTCATATTTACCGTGTCTGTCAGTCAGTAGCGCTATGCAAACGGCGGCAACACATTTTTGCGCAATTCTTAACATGTCTTTCCACTTAGCGGGAATTTACTACACGCACATAAAATTAAAAAGTATATTTTTAGGCGTAAAGTAATGTAACTTTGCTTTTTGCGGAGTGCTGGCGCTCAAAGCGAAATTCTTGCAAACGAATGTATAAGTGTGTAAGGAAATGTGCATTCAACTAGCGTAACGGCTGTATACCCTCACTTTAGCAAAAGATTTCACGTAATGAGAAGCACACATATTCGCTTAATTTACAAGTAGACAGAGGAGGGTTTAATAACTTTTGAGCAAGAGTATGGCAAAATATTTAAGAATTAGCACCGCTAATATACATAGAGAGGCCAAGAATTAAAAACAAAATAACATATCCCGCATTTTAAAGTCACTGAAGCCATCTCCTACAACTTTATTGCAAGTCTACATAATTAATTAGATTCCATTTTATGTTCTCTAGTAATTTTCTTGGCCTTTAATATTAAAATATTTAATTAAATTCAGAAAAAGTAAAGTAATAAGAAAATGTAATTAGTACGACTATGTTAAAAATCGTATTTATTAGTGACAAAATTCTCAACATTATCAAAAGCTGGCAGAGGCAAAGAGAACTGTGGGAAACTCACCTGAAACTACTTCCACAACATCTTCTATTACTTCAAATATTTGCTAAGCCTTGTAAGAGGAGCTTATAACCCCACCAACCACTGTTTTCATTAATTTCATATTAACAGAGCTCTTATACATACATTTGTACTGAACAGTCGTATATGAATTCACATTAAAATGTTTGCACATCTAATTTTTGTCGCATTTCGTTGTCGAGGCCAATGCGACAAAGTGAATGGAAAGGAGAATCACTGAAAAGAGCGAAAATAAGCAAATATTAGGCGAAATTTTACATCAGCACAGTCAAAGCCCCCTACATAATATAAAAAACTGCGCCAAAAGTACATATACATACATATGTGCTCAGTTATATAGTTCCACAAACACATACGTAAGCAAGCACTTCAAAGTGTCGCATATAAACTCATTACTGCAACCAAATATTGCGCTTTATAAGGCAATAAGCGGCGTCTGTGAACAGGCATAAACTTGTATACATACATATGAGTATATTTATACATATACTATATAAATGAGAAATATGTTTGTGCGCCCCTATATAAAGAAGCGCTTATGAGCGCGTTCTTAGGAAATTGGAATTTGAAATTGTAGCAATCGCCACATTGCCAACATACCGACAACTTTAACTGCCTGCTTGCTTTATGGCTTTACAATTTTTTTATTATTATAATTCATTTTTATTTACTTTTTTTGCTTTGTTCATATTTCCACTTCCGCTTTATTTAGCTCAGTCGCATGCAAAAGCGTACCTTTATGTAATGCCATATTTGCTTTGCCTTTGCTTGCTGGTAAGCCGACATGTGGCGCTTGTGGTTCATTAGGCTAAGGCTGACTACATAGTGGCGCAAAATGAAAAGCAACAAGAGGCACAATATAATTGGCACGATATAATTGTTGTTGGTATTTTTACTTCTCTTTCTCTGACAAAGCTCAAATCAGAGTAGGCAATATAACTTTGTTGAAAGTATAAGAACACTTTAGCCGAACTTGGCACTGCGAATATGGAAACTCATTCGTCTATTCATTATAATTTGAGGAAACTTTTGTTACAAAGCAGCACATCATCAAAAAATATTTTAAAGTTTTTACAAATTAAGAACAAATGGCATTGCAAACCTTTAAGAAAATAGTTGTATCTAACAAACAATCTAACTTGAAGCTAGTTACAATAGTGTTTCTGAAAAGTGCTCACAACCTCCAAAATTAGGGAGAGCAATGAAAAATTAGTTCCGCTGCACTCAAATTAGCTCTTCAATTATTCACAAATTTATTTTTCATATTTGCTCTGTGTGACTTTGCTCGGCTTCAGGTTCCACAGTGTGCTCAGTTTAAGTACTCTGTACAACGCGATGAAGTCGCAGTTGGTACCTCCACACTTGTCACAATAATTCGCAATTCGCCGCATATGCGTAGAAATTAATGTGAGCAACGTATACACGAGAAAGACGCAATAACGAAATTAAAGAACATTTTTCACACGCATTCGTGTTTTCTATAAAAAAAAAAAAAAAAAAAATCATGCTTATGTCCTGAAATATGTAAAGTTAATGTCAGTCAAGCCCACGAGCAAATCTTAAACAATCAAACATTTTTATACGTAAATGTTTTTTGCAGATAAACGAAAGTATTTAAGAGAAGCATATTTAGAGATGAATTCGCATAAGTGTGAGTACGTCGGGCATTCAGCAAAATATAGCGGTAGATTTTCAAAATATAAATTATACCCCAAATTAAACGTCTACAGAATTAAAATGGATGTGTATATATCCAAACAAGAACAAATACGACCGTAATTATTATAAAAACGTAACAGTACAATTTGGAAGTCGGGGTCTTAGTACTCTTAGGATAACATACTCATATCTGGAACAAGCGTTCTATCTCTCTTCTTCATCACAACATCAAAGAAACTTGTTAGTTTATGGCTCCCTAAAATAGATTGTACGTCTCGTTTTTATGGCTCTCAACTTAGATGTAAAGGAGAGAGGAGAAATAAACCAATTAATGATTTACATGGAAGGAGATAGTAAAACTGTATGGAAGTGTATGTATGTATATGTACATTGGAAAGACCGGAAGATTAAGCATATTTACGTTTGTCAAATCTTTAAGTTCGCCCACTTCACTTCAAAATTACTACACAACGGAAAAGAAGGCATTCGCTCAAAAATGTATTTAATACCCTCCCACCCCCAAACGATTATCCTCTGAGAAATGTGATTTTAGCTTGTCAGCGCTCTTCACAAACATATCGTTCCCATACCGCAATCACACCCGCAAGAGTGACACCCGTTCACCACGACCGAAAACCAGCCGCCACTCAAGCAATATTAAATGCTATTCAATCGTCAATGTTTGTTGCGTGCCGCGCTCAACTTGTTTCATACATTTTCGCCATTTACTGGCCTATCAAACCATTACGATCTAAATGACGCTTTGACAGGAGGTGGCTTTTGCGCTGACGATGCAAACGATGTCGTAGCGACAATGTTCGAGATGTCGAAAACGCCTCACCCACCGCCTTCAACGCTCACCCCGGGGGGGAAAGCTTTAAGGAATGGCAGCTCGTGTAAAGCTGGCAATTTGGAAGGGCTGGCTGCCACTGATGCTTTAATGACTACGGAGACGCGCTCCACCACGCGCAGCACAACAGCAATAAAATACAGAATAGAAAATACACAAAAATGCGCAAGCAAATAATATGGCTATGAGGAAAATGAGGAGGAGAGCGACGCTCTGAGCGCACACGAAATGTCGATGAAAACCACGAGCTACGCGCCGCGAACCGCACAGCAAGTGATTACCAGGCATTTAACACGGTTTACCATGCTATTGTTGGTGTTTGTTAGCGTTTGTTAGAGCTTGTGATGCACGCGCTAGCCTGTGGCGTGAAGCGAGTAACGAGCGTTGTCTTGTCTATGCACCGCATGTATGTGTGTTGTGTGTGTGTGTATATTTAGTATTACTGGTACTTTGCGTTTAGCGGTAATCGACGCCGCTGGTAGTCAAATCAGCCATACTTTTATCTTTTGTTGGTTTTGTTGTTATTCAAAGAATGTGTGTTTTTGTTCTTGCTGGTTGTTTGCGTTTGGCAGTGATGAATAAAAGCTGATCGGCACATAATTGACAGCGCTGTGGCGGCATGTTATTTATCAAAGCGCCGTTCGTTTCATTTCCCTTCGCATTTAAATCCACAAAGATTTACACGCGCCGCTATATTTATGTATATTTACGATATTTACGAGTTGGTTATCCATTAAATTGCAGCATTTCAATGAATTTTCTTTCAAAAGCACTTAATTTTATCTTTTTACTCTTTCTCTCTCTCTTTGCAGGTATGTACTTAACTATCACGTAGTACTTTCAAGAAACGAAGGTTTGAATTGTCGGCACGTAAGTTAAATTTAATTTTATCAGCTAAGCGCGCAAATAGCATGCTCTAACGCCATTTCAATACATTAAAAAACGTTGAAAATATGCATTTGTTTTTATTTTATTATGAATAATATTGTTTATGGTTTTATTAGAGAGTTCAATTGTGCAGTTTGAGTGCAGAGACTTGGAAAATTGATCATAAGTTTTCTTCGATTGGCCAAGCGTTGTAGTGTATGAATCAAAATAAGTATAGAAGTTGCTATAACAAACTGGCTGTACTTACGTTGCAACCCTACGCTAGCATGTCCTCTGACGAATGCGCGATTGTGTTGTGCTTCTTCTTTTTTTTGCGAAAAAACAGTTTTGCAGTCACTAAGTTTCTAGCCTTACTATTATTCTATTAACAACTTTAGTTTATATCAGATCTGAAATATTTTAAATCAATAAAAAAAAGCTTGTATTTTAATTTTTGCAACAATTGGTCATATAAGCCATTCACAATGGTAAATTATATTGTATATACATCTAGATACTTGAAGCGAGATGAAATTGATGAAAAAGAACAATTGACATGTTTGCTCAATATTACTCATATTTCAAAAGTACACAAATTAAATTTAAAAAATTAAATAAATAAATTTTCATAAAGTTATGGGTTTTTGACATAGAGGGGAAAAAATATTCCGCGACTTCGTCGTCACGATTTCAATCTATGCCAGCGGTTAACTAAAAATTAAACTATTGAACTATGAACTAAAATATCTAACAAAAAAATTATTTGAACAAAAAACGGCGGTTGCTCGCAAATAAAGGATGGAATTCTCTCTAATTTATTTTAAAAAATCAAAAATTAGAAAATTTCAGTTTTAGATAGTTTATAATAAAAAATAATAGAGAGACATTTAAGTAATACTTGTACCACGATTCCAGTAAATAGACTGACTAGCGATTAAGATATGATAACGGTTAGATCGAATTTCATCGTCCGACTGTAGGTTTGAAAATAATTTTAATTAATAAAGGTTATTTTAGGGAGATATTTTCACATATCTAATCTATCTAAATATAATATAATATATATATATATATATATACCCTGAACAGAGTATATTAAGTTTGCCACGAAGTTTGTAACACCAAGATGGAAACATCGGAGACACTATAAATGATCAGCATGATGATCTGAGTAGATTTTGCCTTGTCCATCTGTCTGTCCTTCCGTCCGTTTGTCTGTCTGTTTATATAAAAACAAGTCCATCAGTTTTTAAGCTTCTGAAATTTTGCACCTGTCCATTCTTACTAAGAGAAACAGCCGATATCGGACCACTATAGGCAAATTGTTACCATACAAACTGAACAATCGGAATCAAGTGCTTGTATGGAAAACTTTTTTATTTGACGAGATATCTTCAAGAAATTTGACATGAGTTATTTCCTAAGACAACAACGTAATCTGCGAAGTAATTGTTAAGTTCGGATCAATATAGCTGCCATATTAACTGAACGATCGGAATAAAGTGCTTGCATGGAAAAAAAAAATTGTATTTATATTTTTTTTTTTTTATTTAGAAGGAAGAGAAAAGGCTTACAATACGTAATTATTGGACGAAGGATATATAATTCAGAAAACACTTCCGTCACTCTACGATTTTATGTCGCCATGTTAACTTTCAGCTCAGCTGAAATCAAAAATCTTGATTATAGAGATATTCAACTTGAACCACGTTTGCTTATCGCTAGTTTATTTCAGAATCAGGTTTTATCTTATCTCGAGCGATCATTAAATACGTGATCTAGTAAGGCCTAAAAGCACTTCATTTAAACTAGTGTAAGCTTATCTAATAAAATCATAAAG